CTCTTCTTGCTGCTTGTTAGTTCAGAATGTCAGAAGATGGAGCGGAAGGTGACAACCAACCAGGCTACCTGCTTGTCTCCCTCCGAATGCACTGCAATAACTAAAATCTAGCCAAGTTAAGATTACTTGCATTAAGAAAACTGTATTACTTATTGATTTGTTGAGTACATTTCACTTGACAAGTAAAATTATCTACCAATGGAACAAGACTTTTTGTGCTGAGAATGTGAAAATACATCTTGCTACACTTAAGCTCAGAAAAACAACTCTATGCACTCAAAATAAAAAAAATAAAAACTAAATCGAATGCTGCTTGAATTAAAAAAAAAAACTACAAAAAACACTTATTCCATCGGTAGATCATTTCACTTGTCAAGTTGAATCTACTCCAAGTAAAATGCTCTTAATTTAAGTCATTTTTAACTTAACTAGAGTTTGCTTTTTGCTGTGTGTTATTGCTTTGTCTGGAATGTTCCACAAAATGGCATTAAACATATTTTATCTGCATGGAGACAAGCAGACAACAACTTCAGGCAGTTCTGTGGAGAGGCATCGCTGCTAATAATAAAGCAATATTATTTAATTGTAATTAAATAATTGCTAAATGGATATTTAATGCCAAACTGTGGAAAATTTCAGGCAAAGCCATCCCTTTCCACAGCGACAAGCATGTAGCGGATCCCATAGCCGAAAAGTTGGGCACCTTAAAAACAGACCGGAGGTAAAATGTTACACAAACATGACAAATATTCCAGATAAACAAATGTTCACCCATTTTCTTCACAGCTACAAGCAACCCTTCACTTCTGTTTGGAAGTTTTGAATGTTGCAAATGATTGAATCAATAAGACACTCAAATGTTAAGTATCTTATTTTCTATTTACTTGGTTCCTTGTAGTTGTGCAGATCATTTTATTCAATCCAAGAGTGTCCCTTTTTCTTCAGTGTTGGGTAGTTGAAAACTGTTGAACCATGTGTGTTGATCCAGCCTATAATCCCTTTGAGTGTAGTGCACTTTTCCAATAAATACAACTTCAAACCCCCAAACTTCCCCCTGTCCTCTTTAGGCAAACCACTGCAGCCCCATTGGTCACAGTTAAGCTCCAGCGCTCGCGGGCAACACAGTCTGTCATGGCAAATACTCAGTGATATTAGACAGTGAGGGGTAAACTGCAAATCCACACCCAGGCCTGTGTCCTCTTCCATGCGCCCTTGAAAGAACACATAATACACATACAATACAGGCCAATCAATTGAATTTATAAATTTATTTTCATATAAAAAGACACTATGAAAACATTAGAGGACTACTTTGTACAATCTTATGTATAAAAAGAAAAAAAAAAGAAAAGAATAATGAGGAAACAGGAGGTACAAATCAACAGGAATGTCAGTTGGTTTAACAGTTGGTTAACACTTAAGCATCCAAGGCGGAGATGTGGACGTGAGGAGAGCGCAGAACTGGAGTCCAACAAGGGAAACGATTGTGAACAGAATAGCCCCCATCAACAACAATAAGTATTTGAGACAGAATTATATCGTTTTTCATCCATTTCAATCCGTAAGAGTAGCTCACCCTTTTGAATTAAAAAAAAAAAAATACATGAAAAAAGGGGTGTTGCTTATTAGTGATTGACAGCTGGTAGCTGCCAATCATCTAGAACTGGACATTCTCGATACAGGACTGTGGACAACAACAAAAAACATGTTTTAAAGTTACATTTTTTCTTTGATTAGTGAAGGCATTACAATTCAGCAACTCTAGAACTGCAAATAGAATACATGAAATGCTAATTAAACCAAAAAAAGCAAATGATTTAAGTCCCCCCAGTGTTTGCAATTCATAATATTATAAGCATATGTGTGTTTTAGAGAGGCATATTTATCTTAGAGTATTAACAATGATAATTTGTTTTCCTATTTAGTTAATGTTTTTGTTAATTACAATGAGAAAATTGTTTGAGACGGGCCTTGGGTTGTATGTGGTTCACTGTTATTTCGTATGAAGAGTCTTTATTCACTTTAACAGCACCCTCAGACCCTCTTGCGTACAAGGTCACACGAAAATGACCCCCGGCTAGAGGCAACCCAAGCCCAACCTGGTGTCCACGGAGAGGGCGGCGGGGCGGAGCTGTAGGCTTGCCTATCAGCTGATTAGCCAGAAAGGTTAGCAGGCCTGAACTCTTTTCTCGCCATCTGCGCTACGACCACATTAGGGATCTTTAAACAGATGGTTCGAGGGATGCATCGGAAAATGTCAGGACAAATCACCATCCCCCGGTAATTACTGTTTTTTAAACCTCCCCCCTCTTCTTAATCTTCATCATTTTGCTGCTTTTAATGTGCAATATAAATTTGTGGCTCGAGCAAACACTCTCTCAGTAGTTGATCCATCTTAGTTTCTCTTCCCAACTTTACTATACTGTGGAAAAGTTTAGTGTGCTGTTTCAAAATTATTATTATAGGATTTATGTTTAATGTTTTGGGAAAAACATTAATTGTGTTGTACCTAGGCCTGTCACGATAATTATTATATCGACTTATCGTTCAATATATGAAAGATGCAGCTATTATTTTTGGGGTCAATATTTGTGTACTTTTTCTTAGGTAGGGACGTAATAATATCCAAATCTCTTGGTCCAATATTTTCACAATATGCATCACACTGTTTGATATTTATTGCAATGTTATTATTGCTAAATTGTGACTAATACAAGCCTGACAAGCCTTATATGTTCTTTTTTCTAAATTTTGTTCTCTTTTTCTGTATTATGGGTAGAGTTCAGTTGAAGACGATTGAATAAATAACTTGTACGACTCATTCTAGATTGTGTCTTAACTACTAAAGTATTTCATTCTGCTATTTACTTTTGCAACTATTCTTTTTATTGTATTGAACATTTAGAAATGTTTTTTGGGATAATGCTGCTTTTTGGTTATCGTATCGTTAGGATACATTTATTTCAGTATATTGTTTATCGTCTATATTTTCCTCAGCAATATACTGTACTTCAAATTAGTTATCATGACAGGCCTAGTTGTACCTGTGTAATTTTCACTCACACATTTCATATTTTTTGTGAGATCATAAGATTTTTGCACTTGGCACTTTGGCTCATTGAGAGACAGGTGCCAATACTTGGAAGGCATCAGTTAAATTCTCTTTCTGTTATCCCAATATTCTTTTTACATGATTAAATTTGAATTCAAAGTTTTAGTGTACACTTTTCTAATGTTCAGAAATCCATTGAATTCTGGCAAATATTAATCTTCCTCTGCCCACATTCTTGACTTCAGACTATTGCAATATTGTATTTGGCCTGGACTACACGTTGGACACACTTGATCCACTGTCAATTCTCTCACCAATGTGGAGTAATGGAAGCTGCCAAAGAGAGAAAAAGTCATCAAACTTTGTATTGATTCTATCTTGTAGTACATCACATATGCTTTGTCACGGTGTGCAGACTTGAACGGTAATGTAATAACTGTGGGGAAGTGCTCAGGCTCCAGGATGAGGATTGTACAGCTCTGGAATTTCAAACAGGAAAGATACATTAGTCTGTATCTAACCTAAGACAAGGCCTGCTAAAGATGTGTCTGGACTGGTAATAGGAATGAATAGGACCACCAAAAAGAACCAAGCCACGTAATAGTGTTAATGAAGCACCCAGAAAAACACCACAGTACACACATGTGCCTTCGCTGCTAATGCTCAGATGGCAGGCCTTTTTGGAGTGTGACAGTAGATGAGAAGAAGTGAGAAGTAAACAGGAAGAAAAACAGAAGAAAATAAAGCTATGTTTGGGTATTTAGTTACTGACAAAGCTGAAAGGTGCTTGGGGAGAAGCAGGCTAAAAATGGTGCACTGATTTGCAAAAAAACCAAACCAGGTAATCCAATTATATGAAGGGCCATTTGCTGTCGTTTTTGAAGAAAGCTTTTTAACAAATGCAAATATTGCTTGGGGAAAGTTATATTTGGGCTTCCTTGAATCTGGCATTTGTAGCAGATGATTGAAATTGACTTAGATATTGCAGTTTAAAGGCTCCTAGCAAAAGAAAAGACCACTCCCAATCCTTCATTCCCCAACCAGTATTTCACCAGTGTTACATGCAGCACACATTACCTCAAAGCAAGCTCATATTGATGTGCGGTAGGCATCCTACATCATCATTCAAGTTCCACAGGAACTTTCTCTCGCACATGAAAAAATAAAGTATCATAAAAATGAAAGGCAGCACAAGCACAACTGAAAATAATTCATCATTCTTCTTGAACAGTTAGACCAAACAGCACAATTCATTTGTATCAGTCATATTATTTTTTCATCAAAAGTTTCAAAGCATAGGGAGGGCATTTTGAACTAAATCACAAAAGTACACAGAGAGGGAACACAGTGTTGACACAGAGATGACAGGGCTGGGTGGATGGATGGGAGAGTGGAGCTGGAGCCTGTAGAAAGCACAGAGGATGGCACATATCATTGAGCAGCTTCCACACCCTCCATCCCAATCCATTCAGATGGAACAAGAACAAAGGAGACAGGGAAAATGCAAGGTTGTGGTCATCCGTCTGAGGAATGAAAAACTAAAGCGGGCCTATGAAGCTAAACGAGTGAGAAATCTCCATGAGATCTTTCCCATTGATATAAAAAGAATGGTGCAGAAATATCATTCTTTTTTCCAAATCATCAAACAATTGAAACATATTTTTCTTTTTTTTTTTCTTCAGAATAAAATCAAGACATTTTTCTTCAGAAATAAAGTTTTTTTATACCTTTAGTTCAATTAAAAATGCTTGTCACTCACAGACATACCAAGCCTCTGTTCTCTCTTTTCAATAGTCTTTGTGAAAAATATAGAAGAACAGTCTTGTGGCGTCTGTCCACTGCAGCAGTAAACCAACACAATATGGAATCCGACGACACGGGGCACTGTGGAGTGTGCACACACACTCATGGGCTTATATATAGATCTGCTGGGCTCTGTGCGGCTGGGTTTGGGCGAGAGCGTGAGACGAGGGCAGAGAGTCAAACTTCAGTCTGGAAGTCTCCCTCAGAGGAGTCCGGTGTGTTGGCGGAGGAGGAGTCCCAGTTCTTATTGTGCAGCTCCATGCGGTCCTTCTGCTCCCCAGGCACGATGGTCAACTCAGGGGTCATGGTCTTGAAACTGTCCCATGAGCCTTGTTCCTCTGGGGTCGACTTGTCCTGGAGCAGAGGGAACACAACATACACCCAATCAAAAAGGGTCATTATGTGCATTAGAATAGTCAGAAGTACTACTTACAGTTCCATAAAGACACTGAAACAGTCACAGTGTAATAAAATGTGTCATCAGATTGGGGTCCCTTGTTTATGATGTGTGTTTAGTGGTGACCCAAAATACTAAAATACATATACCAACTTCAAACCTACACATAGTGAACATGACTGTGGGGTAATACAATCTACAACCAAAATCTTGGCTCAGGTAATGCCGTAGACATATATTATGGAGGGAAAAAGCATCTTTGAAAACAGAAATCCTCACACGCCTTCTCTCCCTTGTGGATATTTCAGCAGATGTAGGATATCCTAGTAATGACTGGACCTCTGCTCAGCTCATCTGTGCTCCTGGTATGACCCTTGACCCTTGACCTGTGACCCGTGAACTCCAAAATGACCCTAGGTCCTCGCAGTCTGGATGCAACTACTCCACACCTGCTCCTGAAACATTTTCTTCCATACCTTATACAACTATTGACTTGTATAGTTTTAGATTTATGTTCAAGAAAAAGTCTCTTACCATGTGTCAAATTATACTCCCCCAAATATTGAGAATTCAAACTGCATAATTGCCTTGTATAAACTGACAGCTTATTTTCTATTCGCAAATGCATTTTAGATGTTTGAATTTGAGTTCCCCAGGCTCTGATCTCGGCATGCGGCCTGCAGATGGACCCACCAAGCATGTAAATACATGTGGGGGACTCACTAAAAATGCCATTATTCAAATCACACCATTTTCTCAGAGATAATGATTGCACAAATAGAGGGAGACCCCACAGGTGGACTCCATCACACCAGCGATTGAAACTACACATTAAAACATGTTTGGAATGCAAAAAGCCACATTATTTCACCTGAGCGGGCTCATTCTCAGTACAATGCATTATGTATACTTTAAACCCTTCTATCAAAACCAACAATAACCGAAAAAGAAAACTGAACTGATCCAGCGTTCACCCTGGGTCTTTCTGGTTGTCTGCAATAGAGGAACACCATTTAAAAGCAGAGCCAGGCTTTATCTAAGTCATTCCCCAAAGTTCACAACCTTACACTTCCCCTCCTTTTCTGCTGTTCAGCTTAAAACATCCAAACAGTGTAAAGTGACACTACCAGTCAAAAGTTCAATGTTTTTTTGTTTTTTTTTTTCTTTTTTTTTATGCCTCCTTCCTTCTTGTAGATACATACAGACAAAAATCATATGACGCAAAATGTATGGAATAAACAAATAAATGTAAATACATTTTATGTTTTAGATTACGTATGTCCAAACTCTTGACTAGTAGTGTACACTTCTATGGAGCTTGATTTTAAAATATATTGCTGTTTTCTGTTAAAGGGCCCATATTACGCTATTTCCTGATCTATGTTATAATGTTGTTTCCTCATCAAAAAATATACCTGGAGTTGTGTTTGTTTCACCTTGTCATGTCATGTCATAATACAGAAAGTGCTCCACTCTGTTTTTAAACACCATACACCTTCACTAGAATAGGTAAAAATAATAATAATGCATTAGTCTTATACAGCGCTTTTCCAGTCGCTTTGCAAAAAAGATGTTAACTTGAAAACTACCACTTCATGACATCACAAGGTACAGCTTTGGAGATGTAGACAGACTAATAATTAAGGTTTACTCAGGCATATGTGAATGAAACAAACACAGCTCCATGTACGCGTTTGATGAAGTCATTCTAACGTGGTTAAAGTTCAGAAGAGTCAGTGTGCGTAAATAGGCTCTAGGACCTCTTCAAAATCTCTAATCATGTGGGTTTCTATGGTGCTTCTCACTCTCTATACTCTCTTTACTCAGCCTTAAGTACTTATAGAATTCACTCCAACTATATTCACACGCTTTGACGCAGATATGATACATTGATCAAAAGCTGCATTGAGTGCCTCTCCCCCTCGACACTCAGCATTGTGTTGACTGTCTCCTGTGGGGCAATATGGGCCCTGATTATCATTCTGGCTGCGTCACCGTCTGACAGTTGGGCAAAATGAATACAAAAGGCATAATCTGGGAACCAATTTGCATGCTAAACGCTGGCGAAGGAACATTTCGTGGAGCAGGAGTCGCGCGTAATGCTGCCGTAAAACCCCAACTTTATCCCTGTGAGACTTGGGCTAACGCGATTGTGCTGCTACTGTGTGTCTATCCATTTGCTTTTCCTCCATCTCCAGACTAGACAACCGTTCTGCCATGCCCCCGAGCCTAAGTCGCATCCTTCTCTCCTCCTCTCCTCCCTTCTTCTCTCCCTCTTCCTCTACTTACACTCAATGAGTTCTTTTCACCGCTGGCAGAAGAAATGCTCCATCGCTTTTCCCTCTGTGTGATGAAATGGGAGGGGAGAGGAGGACAAGGGGTAGTTGGTGACGAGAGAGACAGACAGAGAGAGGAACAGGAAAAGGAAAGAAAAAAAAAGGAGGGATCACAGTCACTGACAACTCTGCCCTGAAAACAATGGCGTCGCTTCCACACTTTCAGTAGGTGAGCAGGCAGCTGTGGGCTTAAGTGTGCACTGTAAAATGCAACAGCTCAACTACGAGATTCACTTGTCATATCAGAAGTCTCACTGTACAATTTTTTTGTTTTGTTTTCTTTTTTTAAACATTTATCATAATTTAATAGGGACATGGCTTCAAATGCACCTCAATTAGCTTTTTAAATTGTAATTATTCATGAATGACGGGATTATTATTGTCAGTTCTCAGACTGAGGGAGTACAGGTTTCAGAAGAACAGAGTTTAGATAAATGCATTATGCATTTGTTTTTCCCAGAATGTTGCATGAATTTAAAGGAACTGTTTGTGTTCTGTGCTCTTACAGTTTTAAAAAGGTTACTACAATCCCAAGTAAACCTGGGCTGCCAGATCCTTAACCACCATATAGAGCAGGGGTGTCAAACTCAACTTCACAGAGGGCCAAAATTAAAAACTGGGACTAAGTCATGGGCCAAACTAAATATTTATTGAAAAATTTCAACAACGTTTGCATGTTTTCTCTTCTTTTGAGATATGTAATGTTAAACCTTTTCTTATTAAAATACATTTTTAATAATAGTTTTGCTTAAACATTGATTTCAGCACAAGCATAATATAAAATGATAACAACATTTTAAATAAATAATGTCTCTATAGCCGATCTGTAGCCGGCAGGCCAGCTCTAAGACATATTTGATATGATCTCGCGGGCCAAATGTAATTAGATGGCAGGCCAAATTTGGCCCAGTGACATGTTTGATATAATGGATACATACAAGTTTGTCTCATTCTCAGTATTTGGACCTCATAGTGCATCTGTAGGGGCACTGATAAATGATTGGCTGTGGATGCTGGGATATAGGTAGTGAGGAGTCCTTCAAACCAACTCCAGCATTGGATCTGGCAACCCAAATGAGAGACTCATGTGAGGCTTATTCTGCTCTCTGATTGGATAACCATCTTCAGAACCAAAATACCAAATTATAACATAACGAAAACATGTCCAATGTTTTGTTTTTTTTTGTGTTTTTTTGTAATCAGCATTACAGTTGCATTACATAACAATATTTAATTTGAACATGTCTACATTTGGTTAAAACTGTCATATTTATGGAATTTAAAATCTAAATCTTACATACAATATCTTAAAATGAACATATATAAACTTTAGCATTTGATCAACATAAAATCTGACCTTTTTAATCAAAACAGCTTTCTTTTATAGCTCAAGTACTTGATTTGGTTTAGCAAATCTGGAAACTTGGACACAGACAGTATTTTGATGACAATTCATTGATGACAATCCTCATTATTTATTATTCAATGCATTGATGGTATTGTTATAAGATATTTGGCTTTACAGTGCACACTCTCCGCCGTCTCTTCTCAGTATTTGTCTCTCCAGTATGTACTGTAAAACAATATACATTCACACAGTAATCATACACAACACAGTTTGACACACAAGGCAGCACACAGTGGATGAGTATAGAAAGGGCGCAGTGCAAAGGAGGAAAATTTAAAAAGAAACTGCACAAAAGGCATGAGGGAGGAGTGGAGATGGAGGTGTAATCCCAAACCACAACAATAACCCCAATGTGTGAGTTTTTTTTCTCCAAAAATCACACAGAAATAGAACTAATCTGATTTGACAATTGTTTACAAGATGCTCTGCCTACATTGTTTCTGTTTTGGGCTGCACTATATTGGAGCAAACTCATAAATTGCCTCTGGTCATAGACAGAAATGAGTCATCTCTTATCACCTTTTCAAATGTGTGTTTGTCTACACAGAAACATTTACACATTTTAGGGCGTTATCGCACTTCATTTAATCTCTTCATCCATGGCCCAATAATTCATTAACCCTGATAAAAAAAATTAAAACAGACATATTCCATCAGTATACACAAAGATAATAGTGGAATGTGTCCTGTTTGCTTCAACGTATATAACCAGTGTGTGAATAACCTGTGTTCTTTGTATGAATATTATAGTTTTCTCATGTAAAACTATACTCTACTATAGAAAGACATATGAATTTCATCAATGGACTTCTATTTTTGTAAGATCTGTTTCTGAGATGGCTGGTATAATAAGTAGTCTTAGCACGGTAGCACTTATAAGTTGGATGGATTTCAGTACGGCCAAAGATACTAACTCCACTGGCAAGAACATTGTATTATAATGAATGAGTTACTATATAGGGGATTTGGCAATAACAGGTACATTTAAAAATTCATCATGTAACTTTTTGGTAAGTGGTCTGCCATCTGCTTGTCTCCATAAGGATATTATTGCTTTGCCTATAATGTTCCACAGTATGGCATTAGACTATTATAAAACATGCATTCTTACGATAAGATAGTTCACCTCTAGCCAGGCTGGTGCCACCTAGTGCCTCCGCTCAATTTCATTTTTCTCCAGCGACTAAGTTAGGAATCAGAATACACTAGACTGCAAGAAGTTGTAGCCCGCGCACTGGCCAATCAGCGAAGAGCTGTAAAGCCATGATGCCAAACTCAAGGGTCTGTCTAGGTCCCTTTTGTGGTACAGCACAACAGTAAACAAAGCGGTCGAGATGGATGTAGACAAAGCCACACATTCTGTGTTGGCAACGATTCCCAAGATCGAGGATTTAAAGCCGGAACAAAGAGAATGTGTGGTGAATTTTATCAAGGGGAAAGACGTTATTGCCCTTCTTCCTACGGGATTTGGGAAAAGCTTCATATAAAATTTAGCCCCAGAGCATTGCATATGTCACGACCAAATAGCAGCAATTGGTTAAATAAAAAAAGTACCCACCTACTGCTAAAGAATCCTAATCTTGCAAGGTCAGACGGTTTCCACAAAGTGAATCAGGCTTGGTCACCTCTGCATAGATCTGACAAACTTGACCTGTTGTCTCCATGAAGGTAACCACACGTTTAATGCCATACTGTGGGATATTACAGGCTAAGCAATAACATCTCCATAGAGACCGGTGGCTGACACTTACCTTAAGTATAAGTTTAGTTTAGTTTAGTCTAGTTTATTTATTTAACGAGACAGGGACAGTGCACAATATACAGGAGACTTAACAGGAGAGATGCATTGTACCAGGTTGTAGCGCCAGTGCTAATTTCCACATGTAGTCCCTGGGCAGGTTGATGTTATAATTCATAAAATCAAGCATACAAAGAGAATGTCTTTATAATGACAGGATCATAACAATTCTGTATCATCATTCACACCTCAGCACCTTAAAATGATCATCCTTACCAAAACATCATTCAGTTCATTCACTCCAGAACATCACACCCTCTCCAGACACTCATCAGTTCACATTATGGGTGCAGGTTTGGTTTGAAGTGCATGTTTAAAATGTTTAACAGGAAAATCATCCTCACATCTATCCTCGTTTACGACTCTATCTACACTAGTGGCTGGATACAGGTCTTTACAAGTCCCTCTTTTTTAATTCCCACACCTTTAAAAATAGTAAACAAAAAATATATCCCCCATAATCCCTGAATGGAACCAAGAGGCAATAGAAATGTGTCACCCAATCCAAAAAAAGTAAGTGTCAGAAGCGCCGCAGGAAAGAATAGGGAGGGCTTGTAGGTTTCCAATGTGAAGGAATACCAAGCAAACACAAACATCCCTGCCATGTTGAGCCTCCAGAGCGTGTACTGCGTGCCACTCACAGCCGCAGACATTTTAGAAAGCAGGGCAAAAACCAAATTAAGAGTGTGTGTACGCGTGTGGGCGAGCAGACGTGACAGGCTATCTTTGGGTAGATGATGGGGGAGGACAGGTGCATGCTGGGAAAGCGTGGTTCAGTTTACCTTCGTTGAAATGGACGCCCGAGGTTCTGCCGACTGTCTTGCTACTTTCAAACTGGGACATGACAAGGAGCATGCAACATGAGGCCCAGTCAGCCCAAACATGAAAAGGGGAAAATAAAGAGAAAAACAAACCAAAATAGTCAATGGATTAGAAGGTAAAATCATGACGTGAACTTAGAAAAGGGTCGACTAACAAAAAACTATACAATGAGATGAAGATACAGAGTGGATACCAGAATTTCACTAATAGACCTTGCATCATTAAACTGAAATATTACTAGTGGGTTACATGTTTATTGCCCTTCCCTCTCTGCACAAATTTTGTTTTTAAGTGGATAAAACTCAACTCATGAATCATTTATGGGGTCAGGAAATAGATGACATTGCTATGTTTAGCCCATTCTAAAATGATTTCACTAGTAAGTTTGTCATTGACTTTGTGCTAAGAAGTCTGTGTAGTGATCAAGATGTTATTGCGAGATACAGAAATGGATGATTTGATAGGTTTGTCCTTCAATCAATTAAGCATTTACCTCTTAAATAAATACCCAATTTATGTTTACTGTAGTTTAACAAGTCCATTTTACACTATTTTCTGATCTATGTTATAATGTTGTTTCCTCATCAAAAACATACTCGTTGTGTTTTGTTTCATTCATACATTCAACACATTCACACATTCAACACACAAACCCTGCATTCAACTGTGAATACAGTGTGTTCCACCTTGTGATGTCATGTGGTATTACAGGAAGTGCTCCACCGTGTTACAGTTCATACACGTTTAATCATATTTCACCAGTAAACAAAAGGTAAAAGGTTAACGTTAAAATTCCTGCTTCATGACATCACATGGTGGCACAGAGCCTTATGAATTTTGGAGGTGCAGACAGACAAATAATACTGGATTACTCAAACGAGTGAATGAAACAAAACACAATGCTGGGTAACATTCTAGCATCAATTTTGTGTACTATAGGACCTTTAAGCGTTGTATCCTCTTCCTTTAGTGCCATTTA